AGTGTACTCATTTAATATTAGTGATCTCAAATGAGTTTTATATTAAACTCAAATGAGTATACGCTTAAAAAAATGAACATATACAAATGAATATTGAACAAATCAGAAATGAGTTTTATGTTAAACTCAAATGATTATAGCACCCAAAATGAATGAGCACACACAAATGAGTTTTTTAATATTTTGATACTTATTTTGTAAGTTATATATGTATGCTCATTTATTACTGTTTTATGCTCATTTTAAAAGGTTGCACATGTTAAATACCAATTCTCACTTTATAAGTTATGTATGCTCAACAGCTATTCATGTTATGCTCATTTGTAAAATGGCATAATTAACAATGCATATTTCAAAAGTTTAGAAAAAAAAGGAAAAGAAAGTAAATTAGAAGAGGTGAAGCAGAGATCACGATGCTCATTGTTATGAGTGTAATGCTCAACAAAATATGTCACATGCTCACTAGACGTGTTTTAATGTTCATTTGGTACAAAACACGAATTTCATGTAAATTACAAAAATGTCACCGTTTTTTAGTTGTGATATCAGCTTTCTTTTAATAACACGACGCGCGTTCATTATTAGACTCCTAATACTCATTAACATTGGATTCTTGCTCATTAACAGTACACGAATGATCACTTAGCAGAAATCACGATTTTTACATTATATTACAAAAATGCCACCGGCTGTACGGTGCGCTCACCCAGTGGCGGAGCCAGGATTGACACCTTACAGGGACCGGGGCTTAAGAAATTTATATAGCAGAGGCCAAAACTTAAATTTTCACTATATTTTTTACTACTTATAAATATTTATACATATATATACATCGAATTTTTTTTTCTTGCAGGGGCTAAGGCCACCGCCAGCCACCCCCTGTCTCCACCCCTGCGCTCACCGTATAGCCTGTTGTACAATGGACGGATCCTAAGAATTTTGTGATCAAAATATTAATGTGTACATTATCAAATTAAACCAGTACTTAGTTTTTAGCTAATACTCTAACAGGGTTACTATACTTTCATCACACTATCACATTAAAAAATCACAATTATATGTTATACGGAGTATTTAGGGAAAGATATCATCACGATCGTATTTTAATTTGTACAATGTGGCAATTGTTTTTTATTATTAGCATTAGATTTTGATTATAATTAAGGAGGCCGTTTGGTGACATTGTTTACCGGCTTATCAGTCAATTTTTTCATACTTTTGATTTCACGCGCTGAATTGTGCAATAAAAAAAATAAGACTAAGGTTACTTTATTTATTGTACTGTATAAAGTTACGGTAGATGATTATTTTAGTTATTTTTCATTTTTTAATTTTATTAATATTTTTTTATATATACAAGTAATTTGTTTTATAAGTCAACAATATCCGTCAATCAAATCACTTCAACTAGAACTTCACAAATTTCACCAGAATCAATCGATTCAATCAATTTCAATGTTACCAAACGGGGTACGAGGGACCGAAGTTGAAACATAACTAGTGGTTAAACATGGGTTTAATGCACCAAATCCCCCTATAATATGGAAATTCGGCGCATTAGCCCCCTGTGATTTAAAAAATGTGCCAAACTTCCTTGTGTTTTAATTAATTATGCGCAAAATCCCTTCTATAAACAAATCTCATTGTCAAATAAAAGAAAAATGATTAACATTTATGTCTGATTTAGAGATTTTGACATATTTACTTGCATATTCAATCAGAATATTAGAAAAAGTGATTTCCAAATCGTTTAATTTATTCATAAAAGGGGTTTTGTGCATGATTAAGTAAAACACAAGGGGGTTTGACGCATTCTTCAAATCACATGGGACTAATGCGTTGAATTTCTATAACACGATGGAGTTTGGTGCACTAAACTCGCTTAAACATAGTCCTGGTCTTATAAAATCGGATCACAATTCCTTGGATCAGAGTCATCAGACGTTCAGAACCGCTTTTGTTCAATTTTCTAAATGATCAAATATTTTGGTTTGGGATATATGAATAATAAACTCGATTATGAATCACAATTTTTAGATTTGGCGACTATAAAGTATAAACGGTCTACCATAGTATAGCACACGTTGGTGGAGTATATCCAAATCTTAACAGCTGCAAGCGATTTGTGAAAAAAACGTTGAACCATAGAGTATACGTGTGTGGTGTGTAATACCTCTAGTAGCTCTTTCTTTGCCTTTTTTTATTGACCAAATCAGCCATCAGAACCAAACGAAACATAAATTTGTCGTTAATATGAAAAATTCCTATATAATCAATCAGTTCAAAGAGACACTAATTTTCTTCAAAAGTCACAATACAATGGGTTATTCTGAAATCTAAAACTCTAATTAATTGATGATAAACAAAATCTAATTAATTGAAGAATAACATATTTTTAATTGGACCAAACTTTTCTGGTATGGTCATATTTGATGTGGTATAAATTGATATGGCCAGCTTTGGTCTAGTTTGGTAGATGTATGATTTTGTACATTTTAATTATAAATGTTCAAGTCTAATTTGGTCTGATCTAATCAAATCTAATCTAAATTGGTTTGGTTGAGTGTAATAGATGTATGGTCTTTCTGTATTTTATAATTGTTCAAATCTAATCTTGTCTGCTCTAATTTGAAAACAGTCCAAATAACAACACGTTGAGTATCTCATTTTTTAAGGAAAAAAGATTAAATAAGTCTTTCTACTATTTTCAATCCTTCATTTAAGCTCTTGTACTAAAAAAGTATCATCTTTACAGAATTGATCAATTTGACTTGTAATAGCAGATTTTTAATATTTAAAAATTTTAAAAATTGTTAAAATATGAAGAAATATATACAAAATTGTGAAAATTTCATAATATCAAAGTCAATATTTTTAATTTTTAAAATTATTTGTATATTATAAATCTATTTAAAAAGTCTTTAAATTTTTTATTTTTTTTCTATTTATTTTTTTTCAGTTTTCTGATTTTTTTATATTTTGTTTTAATGTTTTAACAATTTTGTATAGTTTACATTTATACTATTTTGTATATTATTATTAGATTATTTATTCCTTTTTATATGATTTTTGTAAGATTTATCAATACTCCTAATTTCACATCTAAGTAGAAAGATTTAAGTGATGGATCAAAAATTGTATGAGAAATTGAGAATGTATTTGACCATTTTTTTTCTTTTTTTTTAATAACCGTTATGGTCCCAAAATAAAAAGTTATTTTTAGCTTCTGAAACTTAGAGGCGTGAGTTCGCTGAACTTTTTGCGTGCATAATTTTTCTACCCAAACAGTTTTTTTGAATAGTATTTTTTGTTCTTAACAGAGAAGGGTGAGATCAATATCTAATCTAAAAACATTATAAGTGAATGTGGGTTAGTACCCTTGAATTATGTCCATCTATTATAAGCATAAGATGTTATACATTTTTATTAGATGATTGTACTTCTTTAAATGCCCCTACTCCATTTAATTTTAAAAAGCACCGTTAACTAGAAGTTTAAACTTAACAACTTCTAATTTCTATGCAACCGTTTATTGAGATCAAGAAGTTGAGTTTATTGAGTAGTTAATTTCTTTCTTTCTTTCATGTCATCTAAATACTTTTTTGTGTCTTATTTATTCTTTTCAATGTCAATTAAATACATTTTGAGTCTTGTTGGGGTGAGTTACGTAGTACAATTCTCAAATTCCAAAGAAAAATTATCTAAATGTATTTGAAACGTTGACTAAGGATAAAACAATACTCCCTTTTAAACACACATATATGTGGTATTTCTAATGAATGAGAATTTTTCGAATGTTTGAGCGGAAGTGTCACATTGTTAGTAAATTATAATTGTCCAATTTTTCACTATATAATTATGCGTTCATTCTAATTTACTTGATAACAATTCTTATTCTTCTACAGACTACACATTTAGATGTTTGCTTTTATAATCCAGGTACTAGCTAATGATAGTGCATTATGTTTTATATGCTTCTTTCTCATAACATTATTTTCGAAGACAATTGTTTTATATGTTCTATGTCATTAGTGTTTTTATAATAATTTTATTTAGTCCCTCACATCCTTGAGTCAATAAAGAAGTTGATTTCCAAATTAAATTGCACCTATTAGTGAGCCATATTTCACCAAAATATTTTTAATCTTATAATATTATTTTTCAGAATATTTTTAAATTTAGTTTCTCAAACTTGTGGAATTCAACAAACACTTGGACTTGCACCATAGCACCGCCTCAATATCCATGTATATTAAGGCGGTAATAACACATACTCTCTTTGCCCCAAAAAAGTTTACCAATTTGACTTTTCTTTATCAATGACAATCAATATTGACTAATGATAATTTTAATATGAAATTACTTTGAATATGAAAATTATATTAAAATATTCCTTATTTAAAATATATTCATAAAAGTTTAAAATTTATAAATTATATACAAATATAATAGTTAAAATCGTTATTCAAATTTTGTCATCATTGACCAAAAAAAGTTAATATGACAAATCTTTTCGAGTGGGAAGTAGTATATTATAATTCACCTTCAAAAACTTACTATAGATTTGAATAACTCTAGCCAGATCTGGCTAGAGTTGTTTAATGTCATACGCTCAATACTCATATAAATTAAAGTAGCTATTTATCTGAGAAAAATTTACTTTAGAATTGGGCATATATGATATATATCGCGCCTTGCGCGACCTAACGCTAGTTTTTTTTAACAATTCTTTCTAACATATATAATATCTGCTCATACCTAACACTAGTTAATATAGATAAGAATCATAAGATACGGATAAAAAATACTTGCCTCAAAATAAAAAAAATGCACAAACCTGAGCCGAGGAAATTATACGCTCGTAATAAGTTAAATGTGTCTTTTCGATATTTAAATTCTAATGGCCGTAGTATGTACAGCTGTACGGTTATCGTGGATGGGCCAACACGGAATCCGATCGATATATATATCCACGGACCGCTCCCTCTAATCCCTCGCCACTTCATTAATCACGCCGGAGACAATTTATTACTACAGATAAGCTCCCGCCGATCAACGGAAAAAATGTCAGCTTCCGGCAAAATCCGCCACATTGTGAGGCTCCGTGAAATGCTTCGGCAGTGGCGGAAGAAGGCCGCCGCCACCACTGCCCGCGGCCGCGTCCCGCCTGATGTGCCGACGGGGCACGTGGCTGTCACCGTCGGCAGCAGCTGCAGGCGATTTGTGGTGCGCGCCACGCACCTGAACCATCCCGTCTTCGCGAAGCTTCTAGAGAAGGCGGAGGAAGAGTTCGGATTCACGAATTCCGGCCCGCTATTCATTCCCTGTGATGAGTCGCTGTTCGAAGAAGTTCTCCGGTACCTTTCCCGGCCCCAATCTGATAGCGATTCGGATCGTCGCTTGAATTTAGCGGCGCTTCAGCGGCCGTGCTCCGCCGGCGTTCGGAGCAGCTTGGAAATATGGGATTCGCGGCCCGGCCGCCCCATTTTGCACGGCGTCTAATCAACCAATTTGTTGACGAAGAGTCGGAATTAGCTTCCTGGAGTGTTAGATTGGCTCCTAAACTAATCGATTTCGATTTTAGTGTTTCTTCATTTGTGTTATTTAGTTTAATATTTATTTGATTTTTCACAGTAAATGCCAAATCTCATCCGGAATATGGCCGGAGATGGCTATGAAGTCGTCCCATTTTCGGCTTTTAAAGCTACATCACAACTTCATGAATGGAACCTTTTTTGTCTTCTCCATTTACAAAAAATATATATTATGATCATAATATTTTGAATATGTTGAAGAATCTACCTCTTCCGTCCCATATTATGAATATGCTTATTCATAATATGTATGAATAATGTAATGATAATATTTGTATGAAATAATATGAAATATTCTTTGAAAGGATAAAATTATTACGTTTTGCATAAATACAACGATCAAAACAATTAATCAAATTCTCCGTTTAGGTTTTGATGGATTGGAAGACGAGCCAAACCAACACGATCCATTTTTTAGAGTTTTAAGTTTATTGACTTTTTGCGTCTTGGCTCAAACGCCGAGAGGCAAACATTGTCATTCTCTGATTGAAAAAAGTTAAAGTTTACTTTTTAAAAAGAAACGAAAGTAGAATTAATTAGAGCATCTTAAGTGGTTAGCTAATTTCTCTGATGGATTGAGAACTATGAACAATATGATCTATACTAACGCTGCTTGATTCAAACCTCATAAGAAAATTATACACATTTTTCAATTCGCAACACATACTACTAGTCCAATCCTATAGTGATTAAAACAATGTTATACGGAGTATTACTTACTTGTTTACCTTTATATATTTATAGTTAACTTTTTTCAGTATGAAACATAGTATCTTATGTGATATTTTAAAAATGATCATAAGATATTTTACTTGGAGGGATTTTAAATTTAGATGACTGCATCACATAATATTGGATCATATCACTCAGACCACTTCTACAGACAAACTATATGAGCTAGACGAGACTCAAATATCGATGAAATACATTATACATATAATACTAAATTTTATTTGACCTTACTGGAATAATGTATAGTTATTATATGGTCAAACCACATATGCTTAAACAAAATAGAGAGCTATGTGCATATTTGGTAGACATCAGTCCCTACCTTTTAATTTTATATTATTCAAAGAGTCTTTAAAAGTTTGTAACTCTATGTTTGACACCACAATTTTTAAGAATTATTTAAAAAAAATTAAATGTACAGTGAATTGCATCTCTACATTAAGTAATCATAACAATTTCTATACCAAGCGAATAAAACCAAAGAGTTAGCTTTTCATCAAGCAACAATGTATCATCTTTTTATTTTTAGATCTTTTTAGTCACTACAAACAAAATATACTAAAAACTCACAAAAATATTTTGAGCTGGTTGTGCCAAACAGAACACTAGACTTGTTCAAAAACAAAAAAGTGGAAATGTGGAGATCCATAATTTGTTTACGGATTAGAAGTCAATGCGAAATTTAGTGAAGATATTAAGGACTGTGTCGCGTTGTTAGCAATGAGTCCGTACTATAATTTGGAGGACTTTCAAATCCGTGTCTCGCGTGCCGGGGGAATTAATGGAGCGCTGAAACTTTTTTGCATCCATAATTGCTAATTTGTAATTGAAAAGATGGACCCATAATATAACTTAGCTGGCGCGGATTAAATGTCTTCTCGCCTTTTATTCGGTATATAAATAAAGATTTTGCATATAGGAGCGTATTTAATACGAAGTATTTTTATAAAATGATTTTCACCTTTTGTTTTAAAATGTTAAAAACAGAAAGCCTTATCTTAAAACTTGCTATTCGCTATTCCTTTTAAACTATTTTTCTTTATTTCCAACACTTCATAACATTGTTTTATTGCTCTTTTTATGTCGTGGCATTGAAAATGCTCTTAACACGAGTCTCGTATGACTCAAGTTGTATTAATAACGGTTAGATTAATGCATTGATGTTGATATGCAAAAAAAGTGGACCATTACTCCGTAGATTATATTTTAGCGGCTTATATAACACTACAAAAAAATTCGGTTGTAGTCACGGATTTAGTCACGGACCCTAGTTTAAAAAATCCGTGACTAACTCCTTTAGTCACGGATTTTGTCCGTGACTAAATCCGTGACTGTTTGAGCGAGACTAAATCGGTGAGAATTATTATTCCCGATAAAAAATGAGAATTTTGCAAACAATGCACATTTTGATTTATGACAGTATGTTTAAGCGAGGTACTGCAAAATTATATTCACACTAACTGACTAACATAAATCTTAATTTATTTGCAAATGTGTTTCCGCATTTAATTTTGATTCAAGTGATGGTAAAACATTTCTCACAACCTTCAGCACAAATAGTACTACGTATAAGTCTATATCAAATTTGACTATAACTCTATAACACAATGCATACATACCCGCTCAAATATACATAATCACACGTACACAATGCATGCAGTTCAAATATATAAAAAAGAAGTTTTTCGTTGAAGTGCATACCTATGCACTTTTGATTTAATATGTTGCACTACTACATTAAACTAATATATGCACTTTTATGTGGTGACATTTTTATGTTTATTTAAAAAAATTAGAATGCATGTCGTCATCGTTTTTATCATAACACGAGGTTTCCAGAATTTTTCTTATTTTAATAGAAATTTTATCTTAACCAATGTATATATGCGCGGGCACACACACCTCACTTTGTACTTTGTACTTTGTAATAAAATTAGTGTTAATAAAAAAATACGGAGTATGTAATGATCGTATTTGACGACTGAAATGAACTAATTTAAGGAGGAATCATGTTTAGAAACCATTTTAGGTGGTAGAGTGACCGTGGGCGCATTGGCCATGTGCTCATATCTTTATCCACATAAAGTTTGTTTCGTGCTATTAAATGTGGATCAAGTGAACCCTTTATAAAAAAAATGTTCAACTCTATATATGCATATTTCAGTTGCCACTTCGGGTCAATTAAACCAGCGCAGATTCAATTATACTACGTAATATATACCTTTTACTTGTTTTAATCCGATCTAAATTAATCTAGTTTAGTACCCCTCAATGACTCAGCTCGCACGGTTTATATAATTTATGCAAAAATACTTTTTAAGTGCTCAGTTTATTTTATTTGCAAAAAAAGTGCTCAGTTTATTCCCAAAAGTAGATTTTGAGAAGTCGGGCAAAACCACCTTCTCAAATTAATTTTATTTTTATTTTTAAAAAAGAAACGGAATTAGAATCAATTTTAGACACTCCTAGTCTCTTTTTCCTTTTTCATTATTTTATTTCTAATTATGTAATCCAAGTTTGGCGTGGTAAAGTGGCCTGCTGTGTATGTGGTCTGATTCTTTCCCATTTGAGTTAAATATCATATCTATTGATGGTATAATTATCCCAACCATGGATAAATGTTGACCGGGTTAACATGGATGAAAACAGTTAGAGGTTGATGTGCATGGTAACTATGCACGGATGATGACAAGGTATGAGAAGAGCTCGTACATGGTGACCACACGCGGGTTAGAAGATAAAATACTGTACATGACGACTGTGGACGCAAGTTAATAGAAGATCAGGAACTACACAGTGACCGTGGATGTCGGGGTAGGCTTATCCAGAGAGCATGTCCACAGCAACCATGGACGCGATCAAGTACCTTAGCCAAAGGAGCGTCCACAGCGACCCTGGACATGGTAGTTGAAGCCTATCCAAATAATCTATGCATGGTGTCTCTGGACATCATGGCAAGCTACATGGCAACTCCGTACGACAAACTACATCAATGACGTCTTTTCAGAGATACACACAATCAACAAAGGATCCCGCGGATCCGGATTAGTGATTTGCGTATCAATACGAACATGGCGACCACGTCGCCCAAATCTTTTATGTCTTATTTCCTACTATAAAATCATGTAATCTTTGGAAAGCTCAATACACTGAATACACTACATACATTTATCTCTCTAAAGATTATCCTGAGCACTTTAATTATTTTCGGCTATCTCTTATTAATTATTTTCCGGTGGATTTACTTCCATCATTTTGGTGCTTTCATTGAGAGCTGAAAATACACTCAGGCTATTTCAACGTTGTAACAATGGCTACTACAAGGGCGGAGAAGGATGTACCCGCTGATGGACACACTGCGTCCAACTCATCGGGTCAAGACTTGCGTAACCGACTCAGTCGCCCTGCGGTGGTTCCCGTAGAAGTGCCCGATGTCCATGGTGCCATCCTAGGGATGACCAAGATGTTGGGTACTCTTGCGAAGGACGTACGCCGTGCAATTCCTGGCACTCATCAAAAGCCTCCTCAACCACACGGAACTCAAGTTCCGATTAATCATCCGGCGGTGGAGGTGGAGGTGACATCACCAGCGCCATCTCAAAAAAATGGAGAGAAAAGAGAGGGACGAGGAATCCCTGTCTCTTCGAACCAACCAGCTCGTAGTGAAGCCTCGGTGTTTAGTAGATTGGGAGACCGACGACGCTCTGCTAAAGACCGTCTTGGACGATCGCACCATGTTGATAAAGAAAGGGATACACAAAACCACCGTGGACGACATGACCACGGCGAAGAGGAGCACGTGCAAGCTCCCAAAGTCACCCATATGACTGCCAGTCACCATTCACTTGGACACATGACTGAGCATGTCGGCGGGACTGAAATACGTTCACAAAAACCGAGGAACACAGAAGTAGAGGACGGTGGCAGGAAACGTGTGACGATTCAAGCAGATAGAACCAAGAATGATCTAAATGACGTGGAGGTGAGGAAGCTATGGAGAAAAATCGAGGACCTGCAACGACGGGTAGATGCAGGAGATGGAAACACAGACGCTAAACTAAAGACGGTAACCCCGTTCACTACACGGATCATGGCATACCCGTTACCAATTGGCTTCAAGGCGCCCCATGTCAAGGCCTATTCGGGAACCTCAGATCCCCAGGAACATTTGTCACGTTATTATGCTAATATGATTATGATCGGGGCATCAGAGGAAATAATTTGCCGTTGTTTCCTAGCTACGTTGGAGGGAACTGCGTGTGAGTGGTTCAATTCTCTCCCCCATGGCTCGATAGATGAATGGGAGGACTTAGCGCAAAGGTTTCTTCAACACTTTGCCGCTAGCAAAAGAACCAAGCAACACTACTCACACCTCCTGACCGTGAAGCAGAAGAAGGGGGAGGACTTGAAAGATTTCGTGATACGGTGGAGGAAGGAGTCTTCTGCCGTGCATGGGGCGGATGACCAAACTCGCCTTGCCATGT